TGGTAGAGAAGATCGGACAGATTTCGCCAAGGCAAGCTGGGCAGTCGCCTATTGCTCCTATTCCAGATAACCCACTGTACCCTGTCTGAAAGGAAGTAACGCTAGAGTAGACTCGCGAAAAGTGTATAAGACACTTTTAAGATCAACTAAATAGCTAAGCCCAAGGGAAGTCGTTCGGGGAGGCCCTCCCTAGTTCCACAAGGGTGAGAAGGAAGACACACGATAACGAAACATTGAATCATGTAGAAGACGTAGGGTAAATGCAAAGCAATTTAAAGTAAGAATATGCAGTAAGCTAAGCGAAGAGGTAAGCAAGAGACATGTTAGACAACTTCTACTAAACAAAAGTTAGAACATCTACAAACAAAAATTAACTCAAATAAAATAAACTATAATGAGCATGCAAAACAATAATTAATTCAAATGAAAATGAACTTAAAAAAAATAATTCTATTAGATATAACATGCAAGTTAAGGAATTTTCTAACTACGGGATCTTCCTTGTCTTCTCCATCGTCGATCTGAAACAGATAGGGTGGTAACATATTAATAATGAGCAATTTATAATAATTATATCACGTATTCTCACCTTAATTAACTATCGAAAGTAAAGTTCCAAAGTTTACTAGTGTGATGAGCAAACCAAATCCAGAAACAATACCATTGCTGACAATTTGCTGTTTCAGTGGTTTTTGAAGTAATGTCCGGTTACCTCCCTCTTACAGGTCGATAATTAACTGCATAATGTTGAATTGTGGAGACTCCAAAAAAAAAAACAATACCTTTGTATTCATTGGTTGTTTCAGCAGCATCTGTATTAACTTTAATTCTCTACCATTTGTTACGACAATCTGTAGAAATGGGTAAGAAAAAGTAATTAATTACCACTTTTAATTAAAGCAACCAAATCAAGAATAAATTTAAAATAAATGCTTTATCACTTGTAACAAGTTAACCTCCACACTGCTGCAAAGAAGGGTTTCACATTAATTCTGCTAATATTTCTGAAAGGATGGTTAAAAGTTGTTTAATGAAAGTAGGTTACAAATGTCTCAGAAATTGAGATTTCTAGCACCTTATCATCAATTTTTCAATAAACTGAAAAATTTCTCAATTACCCAGAACTCTAACAAAAAATACAAATACTTAAAAAATAATTTTTAAATGAATTTATTAGTTTTTCAAAGTAAGAAGTAAATAATCGATTTTGAGTTTAATCAGTGTAATTATAGCAATTAATGCTGTCATTTACCTTTATGAAGGGGCCTCTCAACACGTCGCCAAATCATCGTCATAAATCCTTCCTTTAGCAACAGGCCTGAAGTGAAAGAGAACTCCGCAGCAAACATCCCACGACATTTAGTGTCCAAAAAAGCTGCGTAATGTTTCTGTAAAATGATTTGTTATATTAAAGAACGACCGTATGTAATTAATTAACAATTGACATCCCTATTAAAAACGTAAGTATAAGTTCTCCACCCCTTAAATTTCACTATCGACAATAATTTTACTGGAACATACCACACATGATCTCCACGAATTTAAACTTTTTCGAGCAAAAAATTCACGAAAGTACATGTACATATAGACTAGATGACTATTTATTCCACATGTGCCAAAGGTGTTTCACATTGTTATATATTTTAGATCCACATTATTCAAAACACTTTGAGGTTCGTGGTATGTCAAACAAGAAATAGGATAAGGAATGCAAACATTTAGACTTTCAGACTTCCATGTCTTTTTTTATTATGTGGCAGTCTCAACTCAATGCTAACGTGCCATTGCTTTACACTTTTTTATTAAATTATCTAAGGCATTCTTGAGAATACCAATTGAACCCTGGTCTGCCTTTGATAGAACGAATTCTATTGTTCCAGTGAAAATTTACTTCTTAAATGCCTCAATTATAATACAATAATTAAAAAAAACATCTAAAATTTACCCCTGACAGCAACAGTCTCCGTAGCAATTTTTAAGGTTAGAATTTTTTGATACGATGGCGGATTTGTATGCAGTTAAATAAGGATTACTGTACTATCTGTATATTGTGTTTTGAAATCATATCTTTTATCTGTCTATTGTACATATATTAAATGTTTTTATTGAACAGACGGAATTCGCATACGTAAGATTCCCACTTTAAAATGGTTAATAGATATTTGTATTTTATCATAAGATTAAATTTGAATGCATAGTGATCCGCTCGCTGATGGCATTTATGAAGATGATATACCATGTCTAATCTAATAGTTATTGTACTAATACCATGTCTAATCTATTAACTATTGTCCAAAGTGTTCTTTTCATACAGTTCAAGAACATGAAGGCCCTTTTAATACAAAATTATAAGCGAATAGAAATACAAAGGACTTGGATATTTCAAAAAAACATCAGGCTGGCTGATATACTTATTTATATAAATTTTTTCAGCAATAACTAGATCATTATACAAACAAATAACTGTACAGCCTTTTCTCACCTGTTACTGTCTTCGTTGTATTCCTTTCGCAATGCTTGCTTTTTCTATAATGATAAACAAATTTAAACAGTATCTGAAGCGGATCCAAAATATCCAAGCTGCTGTTTGTGATGGTCTTCGAGGGGTGCAGTGACTTCAGCCTACTGTCGATTAAGCATTTTTAAGTAGGATTCATTCTAAAATGAAAGAAACACCCCAATTATTTTTTAGTTTGTCGTTTTCCTAAATCATAAATTGCATGTTAAAATAAACAAGTATTTAATTTCTTAGCAGTACCTCTTTTGATTATTGAGAAATGCATAAGTAGGTATCTCCCGCGACATACAAAAGAACAACACCGATGGAAAAGTCTCCCTGACAGTTCCTTTTTTGTTCTGGTAATGATTTTTGAAACAACCACATCAGTTTTCATAAAGGTGGTTACGTGGTTGCTTTAACAATCGTTATCAGGACAAAAGCCAATGACTATGATTGTGAATGTGACCATTACAAAAGCTTAAAAAATAAAAAAAAATTCATTTTCGAATAAATCATAACATAATGCAAAAAATTAAAGTTGTTTATCTTAGTGAAAAAAACAAAATTGTTATAATTCTAGAATATCCTATCATCGGCTGTCTCAGCTGCACCACTTTCCTTCACAAACGTTAATTAAATGTCTTCTAAACTTCTATCGTCCTTCCTAAAGTACGCACCCGATACACGTCACATAAATACTAATCTGTTGAAAATTTTTTCTTCTATACCGAACGTATTTGTTTCTCGTTACCATCGAAACTTATTTGACGTTTCTCAATTTATTTTTCTTGTCTTGATTGCTCGGTGAAAAGTATGCTTTTATAACATGGCAGCGGTACACCTAGCAAAAGAACATTTACCCTCCACCAATACGAAAACGAGATTTCAAGAACAGATACGTTTAAAAGAACTGAAATCACAAAAAGGCCTCGGCTTTACTAAACGCCTAAATAATGTGAGTAGTGTTGTAAATTTTGTAATTTCATTTTTTACATCTTTTTTTTTGTAAAAATGTAGGTACAACACAAGTATGATTTTCTTATTAATATATTAAACAATAAAATTCGATATGCGTGTATTCCACTATTTCTACGGAATATTTTGAGGTTTATTCGAAGATAGTATAGTTATTTTCGAGAAAAAACGTTTTCTAATTTTCTTTGTACTTATTAGTCCTTCCCCCCTATCAGTTACTGTGAGCTCGAAACTGTTAGCACCATTGCTTTGAGTGTTCGAAATTCACTTTTGCGAACAAATTGTTTAATCACTTTCTTTGTGTTAAAAATTGTTTGATAAATTAAATTTAAAGGAATTGTTTGTAAATAGGTATGCAACACATCGTACACTTCAGCATAAAAAATTACTTTTCGTAAAGTAGCCGATATTTGGTGTATGTTGAGTTGTCTATCCATTACAATACAGATTGTGGTTTAATTAATTGTAAAACGAAAAATATAAATTAGCATCCCTAACTGCTTCTACACGCAAAAAATATTATTTAATGATACAAATGAAATGAATCAGCGAAGCCAAACTATAGCCTAATTATAGTTTTTGTTTTCAATTGTCCCGGATTTTGCATTTTCTATTTTTCAGATCTTTTCTGGAAAAAGGAAGTACCTATCTTATAGGCATTACATAATTATTGTCTTTAGTTTCCAATTACGATGTGAAACGATAATAGCTTTCGTGCACTGGACCCTACATTACGGGGCTGGTAATTGAAATAACTTCTAGCAATATTAATAAAATCAACACTGAACTACCTTTTCTTATTTCATGTTTGCGAAAAAATTGTAAGTGTAACACATATTTTTCAGTTAACATGTTTGTCGGTTATTGTATAATAACTGCAATATTCGAAATGCCTCTGATGTTACTGTTCACGTTTTTGGGTATGTATTGCCGAAAAACAATCATAGGAATTTGGGACTGCCTGCCTGTTATGAAGGGTAACATTAATTTGAAAACTCTTACAATAGAACCGCACGTCACTCGTAGAAGCAGGGTTCGTACCTAGGCCGGCGATCTTAACTATTAAACATTCCCAAATTTAATTTGATCCAACTAACAGATATAAAAATATAAACCCGCACATTTGGAAAACAATCCGGGATTTCTAACTCTATGCCGTAAGCGAATAGACGTAGAACGTTTTGGAAATTTTGGTATACTTAAATTAATTTTCGCTTTTTTTGTGTACAATAAATATTCTTATTTTCAAATAACGGAGTAAGCAATTTTTCTATTTTATTATTATTCATGTGTGACCTTTGATCATATAAATAACCGCGGTCTCACTAAAAATTTTCAGGGTAAATTTCTAGTCAATTTCGGCTCAAGGAATTTACGCACCTACACCTAAGATGGCCACTAGAGAACATCAAACTTTTTGACATGCACACCTAAGTTTGTCGTTTCATAAACTAACGACATTTAGTGTCAGGTAATTTAATGGAATGTTATTTTTAGGAGTTGCAATTTCCGTTTTATTGCTAATCACTTTCGACAACGTGCTGGATGCCTCTTACGCGTCCCTCGCGTCCCGGTATCTCTTCGATATATTTTCGTCGCCGTTACCGTGGTTCACTTGTAATTTTAGAGGGGCCACGGAATTCTGTTATGTGCCCTTTGCAAATTTTACCAGCGATAAATACAATACCTCCTGGGAAGATGACTGCTGCGGATTAGGATACGAATTCGATAATTGCGTAGAAAAATTGCCACCCCCGCAATCAGCTGCCGAGTTTTTAAGGTAGATATCGCACCTTTATGCAGGTATTTAGGTGCATTTTATAATTATTATTAATGTTAACTAATAAATGCAGTAATTTTTTTCACAGGTACAACAAGGAAGGCTATAATGTACAAGGGGAGGATTTTCGACAAATTAACTTCGAATGGGCCCTTTCCGTTGGCATATTTTGGACAATCATTTACTTTTCTGTATTACTCGGTATGGAAAAGATGAAGTTCTTTATAGTTATATGTAGTGTGTGTGCCTGTATCTTCCCCGTGTTTATCTACCTGTTCATTGCTCTAAGGGAGAGCAAGGTTTATAATGAAACTAGACTCATTATACGAAAAAGTCCTTTATTTGACAAAACGGTACATAATGCGATTGTATGTTTCTAGCTAGGCCTTCGTGTTTCAAAACATGTCCTATCACTCCACATATATCTCCTTATCCTTACTGACTTCCACAGTGCCCTTTATTCTGCTACTCTTTTCAATATCCACCACCACATTTCTAATTTTTTCCATTGACAGTATTTTCATCAATTATTTCCTTACTAACGCCCACATGTATAATACAACAGATTATTATCTTTAATATTATTGCAGGGTGACCATATATATAAGATTTTGTTGTTCATTCGTGTTGTTTTTTTATTAAATTCTAAGCATTTTTAATCTCACATATTTTGGGTTGAAGATTGAATATTTCCAGAAGATTTAATCCAATCCGATGAGAATGAACAACAAAATTTTGCTAACACACAAAGTTTTAAAAATTTAATGATCTTGGATTATAAATTATTTTCAAATAAACAGTTTTTTTTTAAATCCGTATAGCATTGGGTCAAAACAATATGGTCACCCTACGTAGTTGGTACATATACAGGTATAATAATATAAGTTGTTTTCTTTTATAATAACAGTTTTGGATGCACATTGTTAACATTACGACGAAATGTGCAACGCCGGGCTTCCTCGTTTATGTAGCGTCCCTCGCTCCAGACGACGCTGATCCACTAAAAACAACTGTACTGACGACGATATTTAGAGCTACATATTTAAGTTTGGGATTTCTTGGTGTACCATCGTTTATCGGAGGTTACTTGGAGGATTTCAACGCTCCATATAAGTGTGTCGGTGGCAGAGGTGCGTATGTATACGATACCGTATATTTTTTTTTTATAAATTAAACCTTTTCAGGACGTGTAGCAATATTTGCAATGGGTACCCATTTGATATCGATAATTCCCGGGCACGTCTTAATTCTCCTTCTATGGTTTACATCGATAACATTTCAATGTGTTATGTTAACTCTGGCGCACGTTTTGGCTGCAATTGACTCATTGGCCGATGGCATTCCGTATTTCTCCAAACATCGAACTGTCGTAACTTTCGTTTTCGTTGCAGTGTCTTACGCTTTCAACTGTCTCGTCGCAACAGCACATCGATACGACCTTTTCTTTTCCCTACGCAAATCTTCTTTGATAATTGTTCAAATGATAATTTTTTCTCTGAGTTTGATTGGAATCGTTTTCATATACGGAGCGCACCGATTAAAAAACGACTATCATTTCGCATTTAATCGACCCATTTCGAATTACTGGATCATGTTATGGAAAATCGATGCCATTTTATCTTTGGTAAGTAACTATATACGCATAAACGTATCAATAAACTAAAATATTTATTATAAAATACATCAGAAACTTGTACTGCTGAAGTCCATGCGGTAGGCAACACATTATACTTACAATGGCAAAAAGAACTTACGCTAAACGATAAAACAAGTTTTCGTAAAATACAAACGTTTGGGAATGGTAGTTGAATTTTAGTAGTTGTTTGGGGTGTTAGGTGTTATGCTCACATTACATAATAATCACCACCCTGATAAATGTAGAAACGTAATCGAAGCTTAACTGACTGTATTACAGACGTTCCTGTTTTTTATGGTGGAATCCGCTCGCGTAGGTCTTAGTGAAGAAACCTACAAAATCGCCAATTACATCGTGCTGGCCGTAACGATTTCTCCCATTATTGTTTGCTTACTGTGGAAATATTACAAATGTTTAAAATATCAGGTAACATTCTGCGTTGATTATAAAAAAAGAATTTTAAAAATCGACACTGTCGTTAGGACTTGTCATCGTTTTTTAAATCATCTGCAAAATGGGCCTACTATCAACACAGAAAGGCTCGTTTCCGAAAAATATTCAACCCTAACAAGCAGAAATACAAAAATGTTACTCTAAAATGTCAACACAGGTGTCTAACAGGATCTGTTCTTTTCAAGAAAGAACTTGTCAGACAGGAATCAATGCTGCAAATTTTTTCAACGAAACACAACGTCGAGAATGCGGATAATTTCAAATTTGACTGATGACATAAATTTTTCGAAAGTTCATTATTTGTTGCATAATTTATGTATGTATTTTATTGTTTTAGTTCACCCTTTACATAATTATATTTATTGAATGACTATTTTTCTTGTTAATAATGTACAATGGTCTCACGCAATAATTTTCGCAAAAACTATATTTGAAGGGATATTCTACTGTTCACTCGAACAAGATTCGTATTCGAAATAACTAAATTTTTAAAGAATAAATAACAATCACAATATTCTGGTTCTGCAGTAGATCAGACATATGCAACGCAACATACACGACGTAAGTGCAGGTTGCATAGATAAGTGCGTAAAACTTACATATATAAAAACGCGCTCATTTTCGTTTTCAAAGCTTTTCGGCCTGTTGAACTTCTAAAACACTGAAAAGCAATAAAAATGAGCGCAGAATTAAGCAGAGACAATAGTCTTTTTATGTGCCGATTCGAATAAAACGATTCAAATTGTTGTTTGACAGAAAGTTTATAAACGTTCTGTGTACAATATCTTAAATGTAAGTTGTCGACCTAATTAGCATCTATCTAAAGTTTTTAAATGGTGAAATCCTACCTTTATTAACTACAGCTTGATCCGAATTGGAAAAGAAAACAGGAAAGGTTGCACGAGAAGGAGGGCATGTAGACTACTTGCTTTTTTTCATAAAAGCGCAATAAACACAATAACACCCACTGCATTGACCTGTAAAGTAAAATAACACCAATTAGTTATTTTTGCTAATGAATACAAACGTTCAAAATAAAACAAAATTTAGGGTAAATGATGATAATAATGAAGATAGTTTTGAATTTAATTCAAATAATTTAACAAAAACAAATTTCATTCATCATTTCATCTAAAATTCAACAAAAAAATCATAATGCTTTATTAATAATTAACTAATTTTTTAAAGGAATCAAAAGCCAAAAAGGGACAAATAGCTTTTTAATATGTAAAAACCACCACCGACGTTTGGCTTCAACTTATCGGCCTTTTTTAAGGCTGTTCATTAATCTTCAATGACTTTTAAAAACTAGTAGTTGAAAAGTCCAATAATTTATGGCGAAACGTCGGCGACAGTTTTTACATAATATTACTATTTGACCCATTGATAAAACCTACAAGCAACAAACGAAACATCAGATCTGGTTTTATTTATCCTTAAACTGTAGCTCTCATTTCAGTATTCTTAAAAAAATTAAGGAAAGAAATGAATACCATATAATTAACTAATGATTAATTTTCAAATTTCTCCTATCTCCTACTGTGTCATGCTTTCTGGTAGTGTCTTCAAGAAGTAACCAACCCATTCCTACAAATCCTTAATTTTTCTGCCTCCAGAAAAATTGGCAAGATGTCCAGAATTAGGCTATGTAATATTTCACTTGGACTTGGAGCACTTAATTTAGGTCGATTTATACATCTTACTGATATAAAGTTCAATAGGAAGGCTGTAAAAGGAATATTACATTCTATTAGTTTATAATGACAACAAAGATAAATTAAACAAAATAAGGAGGGAAGAGAAATTAAAAGAGATGAATGAGGTAAAGCAAAACATTTAAACAGTTTTTCAGCACAGCTTGATATAAGAAAAATATCAAGTTTTTATTTTATTCTTTCTCAACTTATATTTGATGATTCTAAAGCATCAATTACTCTTTTAGGTTAAAAGCCCAAACTGTTACAATTTTGCAAGTGCTCTAAAAATCCTTCTGAATTGAGGATTACATATAATAATTCTTTAACAATACTAATTCCTGAACTTTCGCTGAGGTTTAGTAACGTCTCAACACTCTTCTCTTCTAATACATTTATTAATGTTAATGTAACTGTGCTTCTTATTTTTCTTATTTTAAGCAATTTTGCTACGGCTAATAACAAATTTAACTGCTTTATAAGAACTTTTGAATCTTCTTTATGAGACGTTACAGCTAAAAAATTATTTTAATATACCATTCGCTATTAATTAGTATCATTAGTATCTGCGGATTTTTATACATAAAATGCAGTTAATCAACTCATATTGTAAACTTTAATTTACTTTAAACATTAATTTTTGGAACCCATCTAGTTATTACTTACGATAAACTTAAATCAAAATATATTAAACTACACATCGTAATAAATACATAATAAATGCAAACCATTTTATAACCACACAACAATTAACGTTTAAAATACACCACAGATAATGTTTTTAGAGGTTATGGTTATATAACTATTATCTATGGTTATATAACCACAATAGAACCATTAATAGAAACATTAGTAATAAAAGTTACTACCATAGAGACGAATAATTTTCAGAATGAGTTTAACCGTCAAACCGAAGGAGTCACGAATATAACCGAACGTTGAATGAATTTAAGAAAATGAACACTCAAAATAAAAACAAAACTTGAGGCAACCATAGCTTACTAAATTTAGTCTACTAAATCACTGGTTGCGCTAAATTCTTTTTTTCATTTTGAGTATCTTGCCACTTCTTTTAAAATTATTCAGCGTTCGGATATATTCGGAACTCACCTAAGTGTTCCGTCTAAACTCTTGTGACAATTGTTCTCTGTGAATTACAACCTTGGTGAATTTGTGTATCTATTAGCTACAGTAAATAAATATGTACCATTGAAGTGGAGGGGAACACCATAGACATATATTAATGAACGTGCCTTAACCGTATGTCGTTGTAATAATTTCTTGGCTCGAAAAGTGAGGGAAATGGCGTATGGTTTCGGACTAGTGCTATCTCTTGACACGCTTACGCACTATCGTGAGAGAGATAGATATTGTCCGAAACTTCGTTCCATCTCTTTCTTTTGTTGTATCACAATTCTGACGGCTAAGGCATGTCCATTAGTAAACGTCGATGGGAACACCATCGACGTTTACTAATTGTATGTCTATGGGGAACACTGTGCCTGTATCTGTGGTCTAGCTCAATGATATCTACCAATTTTTCTATTGTAATAATTATCTATGGTAATAATATAACCTGTAAAATAGTCTAGTTAAATATTAAAATCACCTGCATGATTTATTTATTTCAGCATGAATAAGTATATTAACTGAACTAAATGCATTTATTACGGTGTGCAATTTGTTAAAATATATTTCAATTTGAGTTTATCACAGTTTATCGTAAGCAATGAGTACCAAAAAATTAATGTTTGGGTTAGAAGACATAGTAGGTAGGTTTATAATTTAATTTATTATTTGTTTATCCATCAAAATACTTGCCTAAAGCAATTAATGATAGAAAAAGATATATTATATGTATTTTTCAGCGGTAACGTCACACAAAGAAGGTTTAGAAGCTCTTATAAAGCAGCCAAATTTGTTATTTGTCATAGCAAAATTACTTAAAGATAAGCAGAATAAGAAGCACAATCTAGTTATTTTAATATTAATAAATGTATCAGCAGAAGAGAAGGGTGCTGAAGCGTTACTAAACCTCAGAGAAAGTTCAGGGCTTTGCATTTGCAAGGAATTATTTGATTTCATTCTGAATTCAGAAGAAGGACTTTCAAATAACTGTTGCAAAGTTCTAACCAACCTTAGTCATTACGAGTATTTAACAGAAAGAGTAATTGATGCTTTAGAATTATCAAATATAAGTTTAGATAAAACAGCAGCTGTTTTTACTAACAAGAATTCTGTTGGTGGTAGTGCAGGTCTAGATTATTTAGGATTATTTTTTTCAAATCTTTCACAAACACCACGAGGAAGAAAGCTTATCCTAGATGAAGAAAAATGCATTTTGCAACGGCTTTTACCATACACTGAGTACACAGAAAGTCTCGTGTGTAGGAAAGGAATTGTTGGTTAGTAGAAGCAACATTCTATTAACAAATATCCTGCTATTATTTGTTTTTTCTTATGTTTAATAAGGTATGATACGAAACTGTTGTTTTGAAACGGACTTTCATAAATGGCTTTTGAGTGAGAATGTGGACATTTTACCCAGACTTCTGTTACCTTTAGCGGACGGTACAGAATTTGATGAAGAGGATAATGATAAATTACCCATTGATTTACAATATCTTGCTGAAGATAAACAAAGGGATGAAGATCCTGAAATAAGGTAGATATTTTAGTTAGGAGTTAATCTTTAATATGACTGGTTGAAAACAATTATTGTTATTTTCAACCAGTAGCAGTTTTCCTTATTGTCATACAATGACTACTAAAATTATTATAGTATATATTTCAAAATTACAATACAATTCAATTACGTATTTATTTATATTTTTCAGGTGCATGTTACTTGAGTCATTGACTTTGCTGTGTTCAAAGAGAGAAAATCGAGAATACATTCGAGATAAAAACACGTATGTGATCCTTCGAGAACTTCATAAATGGGAACAGAATAAAAAGGCTCTTGTTGTATGCGAAAATCTGGTGAATATTTTGATAAGGTATTTTTTTAATTTATTTGTTTTTCTGTTCGTTTAAAAAGAAACCAATAGGGAAAGTTTAGCATAATTTTTAAAATTTCTTTTCTTTTAAATAAAGAACAGAGGATGAAATTGGCGAAGATGATTTACAGCAATTAGAGGTACCTGAAGATTTGCAGGAAAAATTTAACAAATTCGATTTAGAAATACTAGAAGAAAACGATTAATTTATTTCCTTTTATAATAAATTTTTAAATTCCTTTATAAACCGTTGGTTCATTGTAACATTTATCTGTGGTAATTAATACAACTTTTAAGTAAAGTTATGAACTTTTCCTTACATAAATCACTTATTATTTGCGTTGAAAGTATAGGATTGTGAAACCGCTTACATACATCATTTAGTAAAATCTATATGTTTATATACAAAAATGAAATTCAAGTCCTTTAAAAGAAATGTGTATGTCTGTACGATCTAATCTTCGAAACGGCAGAACCGAATTCGAGACCGGACTGCAAATATTAGAACATTACATATGCAACCTGACATACATTAGTGTTAATCAGATTGCATGTATTTTCTCAAAAAATTTCTGTAATTAACAATATCATTAGTACTTTGACTCGACGAAATCTGAGGTAAAAGCTACTAATTAATAATTAAAACGTTAAGTCGAAAAGTTGCAAACATAAGTAATTGTGTAGTAGAGATAAAAATCATATCTTTGTAACGAATTTCATTTGAAGTAACCTCTACCGTACCTGGGATCCTTGGAGACTGAAGGCACTACTACCACTACAACATTTATTTCATCAAAACTTGTAGTACCTACTCTAATAAAATAGATAAAAAGGTACTTTTGTGATAATGGCACTTTTTGTTATGGTTACTTTTCTATTACACTTCTTATTATTTTTCTTGTTTAATTCTGCAATAACAATAACTTCCAAAATGGTAATAAATTGTCATCGTTTCTCACTTTCTTCTTTAAAATTCGCTTTGAATAATTGTAAATGTAAATACAGATTTATAGGTAACCGAAATTTATTCGTTAGGGTAAATAACGTTCGCACAGTATTAAGTAAATATCATTGAAATAATAATAAAAATTCAAGTGGGCCAACTTTAATTTTCAATTGTCAAAAGCACGAAAAAATATTGGCATCTATGATTAGAAAAGAAAAAAGAAGATCACCATCCATTGGTTGCTCGAATTCCGGAAACTGAAGATCAGTTTGGCTGTGTTCTTGAGATGTGCGGGTCCGCGTACGCGTTCGCGCCGCGGATAAAGGAACTTTTTAACCACATGGTCACACACCCCTGTGGTTTGCAGTCGCCATTGTAACAAAGTTTTTTATTATTATATATATTATATTCATTATGTGATGTGTTAATAACCGTGATAGTGTAAATGCTGTTTCTTTTAAACTAACCATATACGAGTGTGTTGTGAAATAGTGTGGAACCAGGAGGAAGATGCTTGACAAGAGGAATTATTTTATTATTCAAAAGGATGAAAGGTAAGTTAATAAGTTTACCGAATTTTAATGTATGAAGCATTTATTTGGTTTCCGTTTAATTTAATCAAGTGAATTTAAAAGATGTTGTGAATGATTATGTTATTGTTAAATATGAAGTTATTTAAAGAAAGTATAAAGTACGTAACTAACTAATGGCGTTATACAACAACGCTTATTAACTAATTTTCATTAAAAAACTTCTGTATTCATTTGTTTGTTTGATACAGTCTGTATGTGATCTTATATAAATACGGGGTGTTCTATTAATATTTACAAACTAGTATGCCATATTGATGTTTCCCCTTTTGTTACAGGTAGGCATCGATGGATCTTCAACGCGTTCATGTTTATTGTGAGTCATAACTGATTTTTTATTTTTTTGAGACTTTTTAACGCAATGCAACTTTAAATATTATCATTACGTATTAATAGATTTGTTGACAGAATTCATTTTAATCGTTGCAGTTTGCGAGTAATCAGTCACAAAAACGATGAAGGTATTTTTTAGTTGAAGTTTTGTGGCGCTGAAATCGAAAATATAATAAGTATGCACCAGTCGCGTTCTCTAAAACTACTTTAATGACTAAATAATTCTGATGAAGCATAGTATACAGGAAATTTTAGGGGTTTATCATGATTTGATCTGCGGGGTGTTTAAATTGGCTTGCGTACAAAACACTATAGGAACTACGATAAATTTTCCCTAATTGGCGCCATGTTTTCAGGCTCCTCCCATTTGATGGATCCCAATAGGAACTACGATAATTTTCCCTAATTGGCGCCATGTTTTTAGGCTTCTCCCATTTGACGGATCCCAATATTAATTAGAGTATCTTTTTGGTTTGTTTTTCACCCTGTATATATGCATATCTGTCCGTCCATATACTTACAATCGGAAGTAGTATTTGCGTTTTTAAATTTCTTTTGAAACCATTATCTGGCGCTAGTAGTACCCTAAAACAGAATCTTCTCTCAATATTGTCGTTTAATAACTTATTATATGTGTACAAAACACATTAAACAAAAATTTTATTTAATAAACTCGGGATTATGGGATTAATTACGTCAAAATTGGGAGCCGGGAGAAAATGCACGATTTTAGTCTTTTTATCAAACTTGAAAAGGCGGCAACCCTTTTAGAGTATGAATGAATAATATCTTATCCTTGTCAAGGTTTTTTAAACTTCGGGAGGGTTCTACTTCAATAACCCCCCTTAGGTATGATACTGCCCTCTAGAAGAAGATTACCCTCTTACATATAAACAAACGTGCAAATTTTACCTGCTTATGTCGTGTAGATTTATCAATAAATTTTATATGAATTTGGGACAACCTGTATATTTATATGTAGATTTTTCAAATATTAATATGTAGGTGTATTTTTTACCAAAAATTTAAATTGTGATTCCTAGATCTTGTGTTTTAGTCTTTCTTTTCCGCATCTCCCCTCCCACATTCATGTAAACATTTCTGATAAAAATATTCAGACCGAAGACTGTGACTGTGACCAGACTAAAGACCTAAAAAATGAACGAAGTATTTTATTTGAATGCTTTATTTTAAATTGACATTTCTGTTTGCTGTTTAAACGAACAATTAATAATAATCACATTGAGATGTTGCAATTAAAAGTCTATGTAGGTATTCCATTTATAATTGTTGCTAGGTACGTATTCACGTAAAATGTTATATACACCTAGAGAATGTTGAAAGAACTGTTTAACATCATCATCTCTGTCCTATTCATCTATTATACAGTACAATATTAGATATTATGTATAGATCTATGACTTATTTCGAAGTATGTTTTTTTGTACATTTATTATAAATACGAATTATTTATTATAGACTTTTCAATTTTTTTTTTATATTTTATGTAACCTGCTGTACAACAATTATTTATATTATTTGTTAAATGTTTATAACATGCACGAAAAGATTATCGAAAATTAATCAATACTTTTTTGGTAACATCATCAATCTAACTTTCTTCTTTTTTCTGTTTTGAATAGATCGTCCAGCCTCGTCCTTTTTTTTTTTTAAACTCTGTACACAACAACGAACGAGAACATTAACTGATTTATTCAATTAATGGTATAATTGCATTATTGTGCAGGGTGTTCATGAAATGTGCACTTTCCTTTACCTCTATCGTAAACTACTTTAAACCTCTAACTATTGTATTATCTACGGAAAATACTAGGGAACACCCTGTACGCATTTACACTTCCTGGTTTTGATGTGGCTAATAGATAATTTAATGGAAGTTTTCAACAATTTTCAGTCTAAATTTTAGGTTTTAGAATTGGAATCTAATGCTTTTCGTCAACCGTTACCTATTATACAACTAATAATCACACAAAATTTAGTAATTGATAAAAAACTAATGAATACCACAAGGTTTTATCTATAAATGACATAAAAAAGAAAAATCAATCTAATGTAAACGTATTTTGGTATTCCTTAGGGGCTGGGCCTATTCATACATTACTAAAACGTGTTTCTATAATTTTTGGACTCCCCCCACCTCTTACGTAAGAAATTTTATAATGCTAATCAATTAAATATAAGAAATTAGTAAAAAATTAATAGACATAAATTACAAAGAAAAAAGGCGTAGCATCGGCTGGGAATGGAGCCCGGGCCCACTTGTATGGTAACGGAACATCTACACCACTGAACCATTTCCAATTTTCCCAGTTATTGGGTTGGGTATTGTTTCAGCAGGGTACGTTTCGATTCTACAACTAGTTTTACCGTCAGAGAGCGTCAACATTAGCTAATTTTGAAAACTTCTTCTTCAATTTTAAACATATTCCTATTAACCACGTTATAATATATGGGAATCGACCGATCATCAAAATCGGTCAAAGATTAGCATCATAATTGATCAATTTTGAAAAGTCCCCATTAAAACACTATTCAAGGACCCCCCTCTCTATTTATTTATGTAATCATGGCCCATCTCGTAAAACAAATTTGCATTAGAGTGATTTTTCTTTTTTCATTATTTCCACTGTTTTACCTCTTTTACGAGGAGCTTTTTGTTAAGGCTGCACAAAAAAAAAGAAAACAAAACGAATAAGAATTGCTGCCCTTTAATAAAAACTGAATTTTGTATCAACAAAAAAATATGTATTTTGCTTTTTGCACACACAGCAATAAATAATATTACGTAGTTTTTAATATGTACAATATTTTCTGAAACGAAAAAAAGAAATTCGATAGGTACATAGTATTATTATTACCATTAAAAACAAAAAAAAACAAGAAATTTTGCAAAATTGCTATTTGTTGTACAAAAAAAAATGCACTTCAGGTACCCCAATTAGAAAGTACGTACATTTCACTTATTCTGTTTAGGAATGCCATTTTTTAAGAATTGTGCAGCAAATATTATTATAAATTTAAAAAATGCAACAACACACAAATAATCGTAATAATTATTATCAACAATAAGTATGCTCGTTTGTTTGGTCTTCGCGTTGAAATTTACTATTTTATACAATAATATAACATTAAATAATTNAATGAACTGGCTGGATTTTACATACTAGACCACTTTGAACTGGATTATTTGTATTTACACTATAGTAAAATACTTTTTTATTAATTTAATTTGTCTAATTAATTAGGTACGCAAGCAACTAAGTTTGGAAGACAAAAAAACCTTTTTCTTTTCTATGAAATTGAAAATTAATAAATAATAATAATAACAATAAATTATTTATAGCACCAATTAAAATATAAAACTATTGGAAAAATAATGTAACATTTTTGGATCACTTTACAAATACAAATCGTTAAAATATTTGTTACAATTTATAATTGTGGCTTAAAAATGAGAAGCTTTTTTGTCCCCCAAAAAAACTGATGTACAGTCTTTTTCACATCTTTTTTATTATTCTTCACATAATTGTTTTTTTAAACAATAATAAAATACAATTTTTTCGGCCTAAGGGAGGAAAGCAGGAATAAGACGAGGGGTCGGCACAAAAGATTAATTTTGAGCACGTCGAGAGCAAATGTTCATTAAAAATATTATTAATTAATTAAGTATTAGTTCAAAGTAATCGATCGCTCAGTTGTCTTTGTCTGTTGCTTGTCGCTTTGCTATAATAGAAAAGGAACGAAAATAAATTTAAGCCTAAGTTGGTAACTTTATCTGTCCCAATCGTTTATTTATTCCGCATCTGCCTTCATCCCCCTAACTTCGCCCTTAGTCCGTAATTGTTCCAGTTCTTCTTTCGTTTTGTCTTCTATTGCCCTAATGTCATCCATGGTCAAGCCGTGCCAGCGGTCAATCCAACAGAATACTTGTCTAATTAATTCACCAAGAAAAATTGACTTAAAATCGATACCACATTTCATATATTATGTATTGTGTGTACAAAGACGTATCTCATCGGGTTTTAAGGTCAATATCAAAAAGGAATATGGGAAAAATTATTGTTTCATTCGAACAGCTCTAACTTTGTTCAATTTGGTCTTAGGAAATTCTGCTAAATGTCATTTTGTAGAGAATAAAATTCTAACAACCAACTTTACGAACTTTCTATCTTTTGAAATATAAGCATTAGAAATTAAAAATTAGGCAACATAACAATTACGCATTAAAAGTCCTTCATTCAAATAGTTCAACTTTGCAGGATTTAAACTTAAGAAAGTTTACTAAAGGCAACTTCGTAGGGAATTAAATTCTCTACAAAATTATTTAGATAGCTGATTTTAGGTATACTACAGTTTTTGAGATATTAGCTTTGAAAATAAAGTATTGGGCAAAACCATTACTTCATTCAGATAGCTCTAACTTTGCTAAATTTAGATCTCAAAATTCTAGGGAAATTGAATTCTGTAGAAAATTGCCCCAAAAGTAAACTTTGTAGTTGCTGACTTATCGTTTAAAAATAAGGCAAAAAAAATTAGGCAAAATTATGATTAAAAATCATTACTTACACGATGCCCTGTGGAATTGAAATAAAAGAAACACTTTTAACCAAGATTTCACAAATACGTTTAAAAACTAAAACACGTTTCGACATCCAAGGTGTCATCTTCATACTCTTATTTTTTTTTTCTCTAATTTTGTAGAACCAAATTGAATGAAACAATATTGTTCCCATCTTGTTTTCTTATAAATGTCGCGTTAGTATGAAGATTACTTGTCATATACAAGGTGTATTTATAGTACAGATAATACTCTTAGTAAGTGACTATGAAGTTCTGAAACTCACCTATGGAAATTGGTGAAAAGCCGTCTTTCACTTTTATGAATGAACTGTTCCACTTTGTTCTGTAAATAAGTAATGTTAATAAAAATGAAGAAATTAAAAACCGAAAAAATATCTTAACAGAATTGGACTAAACTATATTTCATACATAGTGGATGTTTTAGTTTTAGGAGAAAGAAAAGATTAGAGTAGGGAAATAGAATGCGCTATTTAATTCAATAAGGAAAAGGGGAGGACTAGTTTGAGAAATATTAGGAAGAAACAGGGGTAAAAAGGCGCAAATAGTTAGAAATGTGGGATGTTGTAGGTTTCTCGCATCACATTAATTTCATAAAATAATTCGAAGTGGTCTGTATTCTGTCGAAACTGCCAGACGCGGATCGCGATTTCGATCTTTTTGGATCTCATCAGCGCGTCGCAGGCAGCTC